TGATAGTAGATAGATTTCTCGATTAGTATGACCACTTAATTTGTAGTGTCGTGATTTTACTTACAATAGAGTAGCACTAGCGCATACTTATGAAGCTAATTTACCAGGTCTGGTGAGCGGTATGAACTCTACTTACGATGACCCATCCCATGTGATGCTTGAGGCAAGGTCGATGTAATTTTGTAGCTTTGCCAATCAACGCTTGGCTACAATCATCCTTTCTTTGAATGCTGTGTGTCCTACCCTGTTACTCTCTTTCCTCTACACGAGTGGCGATAAGGTCCTAAAAAGAGAGTTGGTCTCGGGAATAGTAGTCGAATTCTGAGTCACGGGTACGAAAGATGATAGGGTCTGGAGTAGCGTGTAGTTTTCTGAACTCGAATTGTAGTCTTCCTGTATTAATCCCCGATGATCGCGATCCGCCGGGTCTTTGCCGGGAGATACGGATATACAGATAAAGTTATCTGCCAAGGTTGAACTTAACAACCGCAGATACGGATAAACAGGTAATTGACAAGTATATTTGATAAGCATAGACATTGAAGAGTACGATAGTTGTTTAAACAATTGATGAAACTTTGAGTACAAGCACATAAATGAGCCTAAGATACGAGCTATATAACTCGTAAAAATATATAAACCTATATATTTTTTTTATCTATGTATGAAGTATAATGAAACTACCAAGTTGATAACCGGCTATACAGCCATAGCATAATTTTAGTCAAAACGTATATATTATTTTTATTAGTTGTATTATCTTAACAACATAACATATGTAGCTATTGAGGTTTAAAATGATTTTGTTTACTTAATATGTAAGCGTTTAAATAATTATTTCTAAAAGTGGTAAAGTATTTACACAAAACAATGATATTTTTGTGTATTTCGTATGGTAAATGTTACTTAATACACGTACTATCATGTACAGATGAGGGCCAGACATGAATCACCGAGGGCAGGACCATTTTGGCATTATAGCACTTCTGAAATCCAGCAACCCATGCGGCCCTTCAAACCAGATTCCCCGTACCGTAAATAGTAACGTAATAAATACTATTTTCGTGTGATTGATATTGCATAAAAACGGTGGTGTTTTTGTTTAAACAAAGTATTTATAAAATAGATATATACTAGATATAAAAGTACTACATGTATTACCCCCGAAAATATGTAAAAGTGGGGCCGTAACACTCACCTTAAAGTGTGGTTGGCGAGTATTTGATGCGAGAAAAAAAGGAACCGAGAGTTGTTGCCGTGAACACAAATCGTCGAGATTTATTTAGTTTCCTAGAAAATATTAACATAAATTAATTTGATTGGTAACTTAACCAAAACATAAGGTTCATTTACTAATTAAAGTAAATGGGACCAAGTTGGTTAATAATTTCTAAATAAGAATTAAAATATTTTATTTAAATTTTAAGTTTTGATTTTCGGATTTATTTTGAAAATAAATCACAAGAAATGGTTAAATGTAAATAAATAAAAAAATTAGTTTAAGTTTTAGGACTAGTTTTAAAACTGATTTCTAGGAGAGGGGTAAGTTGTGCACATTTAAATTCAAGTTTCAATGCCTTAGGACTACTTTTGAAAGGATAATTGGTTTGGGGGTTAAAATAATTAATTCGGTAACAATATTTGATTTAAAAAAGTTTGGTTTAACATACCTCCTGTTAGTCGCAACTATGCATCACCAAAATAATAATCAGAAACGTAAATGGTCCTATTTGATATTTATTTTTAAAACAATTTTGAAATGGAGGGACTAAAGTTGTTCAAGTTGGATAGACAAGGGTTTAATTTAATTAAAATTGAATGAAGTTAGTTATTTAGGTGTTTAAAAAGGAGGTTACTGAGTTTGTTTCTCATGCCCGACGAAATACGAAAACGAACGAAGCTCTCGAAGCAGGTCCCCGACTTTAGTAGTTGCAATCGAAGGAACATTAAACAAACAACAAAATATAACGGAGGGGGTGGTGATGACTTACAGCATGTGGAGGCGGTGGTTTGAGGCTGTAGTAGTGATGGCGACGGAGGTGGAAGGAAGTTACTCCGATGGTCTTCTGCCACCGGTTTCTTGCTTAAAACGGTGGAGTTCGATGCAGGGGAGGTGGAGAGACTCTTGGGGATCGATTTCAGCAGCAACCCAAGGTGGAGGTGGGTTTTTCCAGGTGATGGCATTGGGTGGCCGCGTGGTGGCAGTGGTTGGTTTGCCTCCTGTTTTGAGCTGGAACTCATAGAGGGAGAGAGGGAGATTTGAGAGAGAAATGGAGTTGTGTCCAAATGAAGGTGGTGTGAGCCTCCTTTTATAGTTGAAGTTCCATACAAATCTTGTAAACCCATGCCTCCGTCCATGTACCTTTGGGAAAGCTTGCACTCAAGAAAAGAGAAGAAAGGAGAAGAAAACCCACGTGGGCTAGGAGTATTGGTTGGCTTCTAAGCCATGTGGGTCCGAAATATGGTCTCCCATTTATTAAATGTCCAAAAGTTGACTATTTTTTTGGTTTATCGGGACTCGGGTATCGAGAATTTTTTCCGAATGTACCGTTAGATGGATTTTAATTCAAGGATTCTAGAACATTAAATAGATTAATTTTTGGAGTTACGGAATCCGGGAAATCACATTTAAAGTTTTGCGGTTAAACGGCTTGCGGTGTCTGTTTTCGCAACTTTTTTGAATATTTTCGTAAAAATTATTTCGAGTGTGGAATTAAATAATAGACTATAACCCGAGTCCAAAAACGCTCTCGGAAATCCCGTCGGCAAAGTGTAAGTGCCTCAACGGATCGATTCAGTTTTTCGCGATTAAAGAAAAATAGTGTTTTACTGTCTGTTTTCTTAAAACTGTCGTATCTTTTGCATACGAACTCCGTTTTGGACCTTCTTTATATTTTTGGAAACAGGAAAACATGTACTATAATATTTTAATGTTTGTTTTGCTCAAAACTGCTTAATGTAAATTTTCAGTTTTTCTAATGCATTAATTAGCGTTGTCGTTTAAGCAGTTTGATTCGTTTGACAGTTTACACATTTGGAAGTAAGGTATCATCTAACATTATGTCATAATTAAAATAAAATTATTTATTTTACTTTAGATGCACTAAAACTTAGTAATTCGGATAAACAAGAGATTCACGGATAGATTGGCGATTATAATAATAGCCCTAAATTTCGGGTTGTCACATTACCTCCCCGTTAAAGGAAATTTCGTCCCGAAATTAAGTTGGTACTGGTAGTACAAGGGCTTTGATAATTAGTAATATAGTTTTGTGGTATGATCCATGCCTGGTCCTTCTATATCACCTTGTGCATACAAGTCGTATATAATCAAAATTGAGTAGACAGACGAATAAATGATTCTACTCTAAGCCCACAACCAAACAAGGAACAGGAAGTAAAGCGGAATCACAAATCCTAAGTCGGTAGAATCTTAATTATATATAACCCTAACGTATACACTTAGCAATCATATATTACCAGCAAGAGTCCTTAGTTTCTTCTTGAATAATGTGATTAATTCGGGTGAGAAAGCAACTATGGAGTACGTTTGCCATATCGATAAATAGTAATGTGCTTACGTGGTGCATGATCCCTGGCTGGTGCTTCTACATTCCCTTGGTGTATACAAGTCGTATATATTCAAGATCGAATAGACAGTTGAATAAGTGATTCTACCCTAAGCCCACAACCAAACAAGGAACAGGAAGTAAAGCGGAATCACGAATCCTAAGTCTGTAGAATCTTAATTATATACAACCCTAATGTATACACTTAGAAAGCGTAGATTACCAGCAAGGGTCCTTAGTTTCTATGTGAATGGCATGATTAACTTGGGTGATAAGGCAACTAGCAAGTACTTTTTGTTATAGCTACTGTGTAGGTTTCATTAAGTTTGCGAAATTTTATATTTTGTCGCGTGTTGAAACCTATGGTCGATAAAGCTTTAATTAGCACTAGTATCCTAGGCCGAAACATTGTTGTTACAAAACGTACCAATAACCACATGTGATTTTGGAAGAGCCTCTCCTGCTGTGATCATGAGTACCCTTCCATTGCCACCTTGGTTCTTTAGTTGTGGGCAGTCCTTCCTAAAATGCCCTGGTTGATTGCACTCGTAATAGTTACGGCTTCCTTGTGTCGTAGTGGTTGGGGTTCTTCTACAGTACCTCGAGATGTGACCTCTCATGTTACACTTGTTGCAGATCACCTCCCTGCAATTTCCGACATGGTGGAAATTGCACTTTATACAATGAGGTAAAGTCCCAGAGTAGGACTTAGTTGGGGTGGGAGTATTAGTAACTGCGGCATAGACAGCTAACGGTTCTGGTTCGAGCTTCTGATGCTTGGAGTCCTCCTTTATATCCCCATGAAACTTCCTTTTGGTGCCTCCAGTGTGTTTCTTCTCTACCGATGGGGTCATGGTACCCTGTCGGACACACTGTTCAGTCAACTGATAGGCTAATTGCTTAGCACTATCAAAAGTGGAGGGTTTGGATGCCGTCACCAGACCTTGAACAGGTGAAGCTAGTCCCCAGATGTACCTTTCGATCTTCCTGTCTTCCGGGGTCACCATTCCTGGGCAAAGGTTTGCAAGGTCATTGAATCGAGAGGTGTAGGCAGCTACTTCTGATCCTTTCATGACAAGGTTCCAAAGCTCTTGCTCTAGAGCCTGTATCTCCTGTCTGGTACAATACACCTTGGTCATTAGCTGCTTCAGGGATTCCCAGCCCATGGCATAAGCTTCAGCGATTCCCATGGACTTCGCATGGTTATTCCATCAAGTTAAGGCGGAGTCCATCAACGTGCAGGTAGCGTACTTAACCCTACAGTCATCGGGGCAAGCACTGATGTGGAAGACAGCCTCAGTCTTTTCTATCCAACGGGATAGCCCAATAGCTCCTTCAATGTCGTAGAAGGGTCGAGGTTTGCAGCTCATGAAATCCTTATAGGAGCAGTGCCTGGTGTTGCTTTGATGAGTTGCGGGAGTACCACTTCCACTATTTCCAGTGTTTCCATTTCGGGCTGCCTCGTATGTTGCCAAAGCCGTAGCAATTCCTTGTGCGAGCATGTTCTGAATCATGGCGGAATTCATTTGGAATGTTTGGTTTACATTTGTTACTTCTGGGTCTCCTCCTTGGTTTGGAGTTTCCACTGATGTTTGAGTTACTGGTGGGGTTCTCATCGGGTTGCCTTGGGGAGTTGGCGGTGGACGAACTCCTGGTTGCTTTCGTGGGGCCATCTCCTAATATGTTTAAAACGGACATGTTTAGTTGTGTTAATACTATAAAGTCCTAACAAGTATGCATGGGATGCATTTTATGATATATAGTTTGCTTGTGAAATCCTACAAATTATAAGAAAAAGAGGATTGATTTAGAAATCCTCTAGATTTCCAAATGATAAAGATAAGGTGCTTGGTTTAGAAATCCTTTAGATTTCTAAAGGATAGAAAGGGGACCTTAATTGCTAATGAATTGTAAGTGTTTTAAAAGGTATGTAAGGATTCTAAGGTACTAGGTTGTTGTAGCGAATCTGGAGAACATCCTTCAATCCCTAAAACCTTCAACCGTTGTAGTCCGTCAGACTCCTTGCTCAGGGTTGGTTGTGCACCGGCCTGACCATAAATAACATAGGTGCGCATTCCAGATTTATTTATGGTATGACTTATGTACGGTACTAACCCTAATTGAGGCGTCTGACCTAGAGGGTTGAGTTGGTAGTTTTAGTTGAAGGGATGTTAAAATTTTATTAAGTGTTCTCATCGTGGGCCAGAGTATATATAAACTCTTATATATTATGGTTGGTGGGGTTTGTAGTATTATTAAATTTTGTTTGTTCTTCCCGAATACTGAGCACAGATGATGGCCGGACATCAAACGGCGTAAGTAGTCGAGAAATAATGTTATTATTAATAATACTTTTATTAAAAGCTAGTCTGCTATAGTTGTATTCCTCTTTCGAGGATACGAGTTCTCTATAGCCAATTTGGCTCTAATACCATTCTGTCACACCCCCGGCCAAGGCGGAACACGCCGGGAGCGGGACTAAGTTCATGGATCACAGATAAACTGAATATATAGCACAAGTACAACGATAAGCAAAATAACTTTTGTATTCCATCATTAAGTTTGAATACAGGGTTCTTACAGATAATAATAGTACATTAGTTGCATTAAACAGGTAAACAGATATGAACAACAAGCTAGCTAGGTCGTCTGCAACCCACAACTAATCTTCTATCTGAATGCCTAGCTAATGATCCCCTAAGAATACATGTAATTTTGAAAGTCAACACAAAAGTTGGTGAGTTTCACAGGTTTTCTGCTAACGCAGTATTACTTTTAGTAAGTCTAAAAAGTATTATCTTTGTATGTATAACAACAGTTAAAACAGTGTTTGCAATGAGTCTTTAAAAGCCAAAATGTATAGTTTGTATAAGTAAACCCATACATAAAACTGTGATTGTAATGAGTCTTTGAAAGCCGAAACGTTATGTTTCATAACTAATTCCATACTTAAAACTGTGTTTGTAATAATTCTTTGATGCCAAAACATTATGTTCCATTAGTAATTCCATACTTAAAATTGTGTTTGAAAGCAACCAAATCCATGGTTGTACAGGTAACGAATAAAGTTTTCTACCAAGGTTGTACTTCACAACCGTAAATACGGATAAACAAACATACGGATATACGGATACAGTTATCTACCAAGGTTGAACTTAACAACCGCAGATACGGATAAACAACAAGTATATTTGATAAGCATACACGTAAAGTGTACGATACTTGTTTAAACAGTTGACAAAACTTCGTATAGTGTACACAAGCACATGTATGAGCCTAAGATACAAGTTCTATAACTTGTATAAATGTATAACCTATATATTTATGTCATAAACAGATATACGGATAAAGTTATCTGCCAAGGTTGAACTTAACAACTGCAGATACGGATAAACAGGTAATTGACAAGTATATTTGATAAGCGTACACATTGAAGAGTACGATACTTGTTTAAACAATTGATGAAACTTTGAGTACAAGCACATAAATGAGCCTAAGATACGAGCTATATAACTCGTAAAAATATATAAACCTATATATTTTTTTATCTATGTATAAAGCATAATGAAACTACCAAGTTGATAACCGGCTATACAGCCATAGCATAATTTTAGTCAAAACGTATATATTATTTTTATTAGTTGTATTATCTTAACAACATAACATATGTAGCTATTGAGGTTTAAAACGATTTTGTTTACTTAATATGTAAGCGTTTAAACAATTATTTCTAAAAGTGGTAAAGTATTTACACAAAACAATGATATTTTTGTGTATTTCGTATGGTAAATGTTACTTAATACACGTACTATCATGTACAGATGAGGGCCAGACATGAATCACCGAGGGCAGGACCATTTTGGCATTATAGCACTTCTGAAATCCAGCAACCCAAGCGGCCCTTCAAACTAGATTCCCCGTACCGTAAATAGTAACGTAATAAATACTATTTCCGTGTGATTGATATTGCATAAAAACGGTGGTGTTTTTGTTTAAACAAAGTATTTATAAAATAGATATATACTAGATATACAAGTACTACATGTATTCCCCCCCAAAAATATGTAAAAGTGGGGCCGTAACAGTCACCTTAAAGTGTGATTGGCGAGTATTTGATGCGAGAAAAAAGGAACCGAGAGATGTTGCCGTGAACACGAATCGTCGAGATTTATTTAGTTTCCTACAAAAATATTAACATAAATTAATTTGATTGGTAACTTAACCAAAACATAGGGTCCATTTACTAATTAAAGTAAATGAGACCAAGTTGGTTAATAATTTCTAAATAAGAATTAAAATATTTTATTTAAATTTTAAGTTTTGATTTACGGATTTATTTTGAAAATAAATCACAAGAAATGGTTAAATGTAAATAAATAAAAAAATTAGTTTAAGTTTTAGGACTAGTTTTAAAACTGATTTCTAGGAGAGGGGTAAGTTGTGCACATTTAAATTCAAGTTTCAATGCCTTAGGACTACTTTTGAAAGGATAATTGGTTTGGGGGTTAAAATAATTAATTCGGTAACAATATTTGATTTAAAAAAGTTTGGTTTAACATACCTCCTGTTAGTCGCAACTATGCATCACCAAAATAATAATCAGAAACGTAAATGGTCCTATTTGATATTTATTTTTAAAACAATTTTGAAATGGAGGGACTAAAGTTGTTCAAGTTGGATAGACAAGGGTTTAATTTAATTAAAATTGAATGAAGTTAGTTATTTAGGTGTTTAAAAAGGAGGTTCCTGAGTTTGTTTCTCATGCCCGACGAAATACAAAAACAAACGAAGCTGTCGAAGCAGGTCCCCGGCTTTAGTAGTTGCAATCGAAGGAACATTAAACAAACAACAAAATATAACGGAGGGGGTGGTGATGACTTACAGCATGTGGAGGCGGTGGTTTGAGGCTGTAATAGTGATGGCGACGGAGGTGGAAGGAAGCTACTCTGGTGGTCTTCTGCCGCCGGTTTCTTGCTTAAAACGGTGGGGTTCGATGCAGGGGAGGTGGAGAGACTCTTGGGGATCGATTTCAGCAGCAACCCAAGGTGGAGGTGGGTTTTTCCGGGTGATGGAATTGGGTGGCCGAGTGGTGGCAGTGGTTTGTTTGCCTCCTGTTTTGAGCTGAACTGATAGAGGGAGAGAGGGAGATTTGAGAGAGAAATGGAGTTGTGTCCAAATGAAGGTGGTGTGAGCCTCCTTTTATAGTTGAAGTTCCAGACAAATCTTGTAAACCCATGCCTCCACCCATGTACCTTTGGGAAAGCTTGCACTCAGGAAAAGAGAAGAAAGGAGAAGGAAACCCACGTGGGCTAGAAGGAGTATTGGCTGGCTTCTAAGCCATGTGGGTCCCACATATGGTCTCCCATTTATTAAATATCCAAAAGTTGACTATTTTTTTGGTTTATCGGGACTTGGGTATCGAGAACTTTTTCCGAATATACCGTTAGATGGATTTTAATTCAAGTATTTCAGAACATTAAACGGATTAATTTTTGGAGTTACGGAACTTCGGGAAATCACATTTAAAGTTTTGCGTTTAAACGGCTCGCGGTGTCCGTTTTCGCGACTTTTGTGAATATTTTCGTAAAAATTATTTCGAGTGTGGAATTAAATAATAGACTATAACTTGAGTCCAAAAACGCTTTCGGAAATCCCGTCGGCAAAGTGTAAGTGCCTCAATGGATCGATTCAGTTTTTCGCAATTAAAGAAAAACAGTGTTTTACTGTCTGTTTTCTTAAAACTGTCGTTTCTTTTGCATACGAACTCCGTTTTGGACCTTCTTTATATTTTTTTTTTTTGGGAAAGAGGCCGAAGCCCCGGCAAAAATTTTATAAATTCGAAAAAAAGAAACAAGAGTTATGTCATTTTTGGACAAACCCCAAAAATGACCAAAATCCAAACATCTCTAAGATACCAAAACCAAATGCTAACCCTAGCAACAATATAAACAAAGAAAGTACAAATTATTCTATTCCAACTCCACAACCCGGAGTGGTCATCAAATTTCCGCTCGCACTCGAAATGAACACCCCATCTCTTCTTCCACTCTTCAAAAATGCCATCTCTATACATGCTCCTCATCCAAGTGTCAAGAATATCGCTAGTCCTATGAACACCAATATCCCAAGAATTCCAAATAAAAATGCACATAGTTTCTTCCTTCCCATTGCCAAAGGACTCCATAATAGCAATCTTCTTTCTCCTCTCCACCCTTGTATCTTTATTATCTTTTATGTACCTCAAAAGTATGTTGCTATAAAAAGCCAAAATATCATCTTCTCTATTATCTCTATTCACAATCTTCCAATTCTTGCTCTCTTTAACCGACCTTCTTTGATTATATCGCTTTTCCATCATTCCATTCCAATTGTCATCATCACCCATCATCATCCACAATCTTTTAACATAAATCCCATCTCTAGAATTTTTATGGATAAAATCATAAAACCCACCCACTAAATTACTTGGAAATGAACCAAGATTTTTGAACTTTTTACGGAAAAAGTTAGAAAACCAAACTATAATTTCCGGATTTGAACCGGATAAATTCATCATTTTTTGGAAAAAAGGGGCCAACCACATGACTAAACTACTTGGAATTGAACCAAGATTTAATTTCTTTTTATGGAAAAAGAAGAAAAACCAACCAACTAAATAGTCCGGATTTGAACCGGTAAAAAACATCCATTTTTGGAAAAACGGGGCAAACCACATGACTATACTACTTGGACTTGAACCAAGATTTAGATTCTTTTTATGGAAAAAGAGGGAAAACCATCCAATTAAAGTTTCCGGATTTGAACCGGATAAAAAGTGACATTTTGTTACCCAAAAAATGCCAAAAAAATGGTGGTACAGTCTAAGGATGACGTACCCAAGCCTGGTTATTGACGGGTGAATATCCCACCACTTACTGATCGAACCAGTAGTGGCACCCACAATTGTGGAGAATCCTAAATTAATAGGATAAAAAACACAACTTATGGGGATAAAACCCATATGCAAATTTTTAAAAACCACTTCACAAGAAAAAATTCTTATGAAACTCGGGATCAAACCGAGATGCAAATCATTTTTAAGGGAAAAAATGAATAACCACCCATTTCCGTCAAAACCTTTGCAATACACACCTTGTTTCCACGGCGGGATTTCACAATAGATGGATATAAATTCCAAATATTGATGAAAAGTGACCACATCATAAGGTATACACCAAATGATACTCGGGATTAAACCGAGTTGCAATCCAATTTTAAGGGAAAAATTGGTAAAAGTCCCGTTACCGTCAATTCCTTTGTAAAGATATTGGAAATGGACTCCTTTATAAACAATAAAATTCATCCATGCCCAATAATTCCGATATTGCCCTTTCACAGCCAAACGCCAAAGAAGTAACAAACAAGGATTAATTTTGGTACTCATCTCATAAGTGTGACCATATTGCCCTTGTCCATTTGTACATAGATGAAAAGAAAAAAGACTCCAGCTATATTATTCCAACTATTTTGCAACACCATCCAACTTCCATTATGATCCTTCCAACACAAAACCACTTCAAACTTAGAAAAATACCCAAATTGCCCTTTCTTGTTATTCATCTTAATTTCATTCATAATCCACTGCACATCAAACCACCCTCTTCCTTCTTTAACTTTCATTTGCCTTTCAAAACACCCACCCATTTGATTCCCAATCACTATGCCCTTCTTCCAATTTTCGATTATAACCAAGCAATGCACAAATTGATCAAACTTTTTAAATTTTCCCCAAAGTTGACCAAAATACCCTTTGACCCAGATTCTAAGATTTTCGTTTTTATTAAAATCCTGCCTTTTATTCTTTCTCCCACACTTATTTCTAAAAAGAATAAAAAACCAGCAGAGCTTAGAATTACCAAAGTACCCCTCCACCCAAAAACCACGTTCGCTATCTTTTAACAAAATCCCAGCTTGCCCCTGTTTCTTGTTTTTTCCTTCTCTGTGATACCATTCCCTAAACCGCATGCTCTTATCCCTTCTCATAAAATTGAACTTATCATTCATGACAAAGATTACAGCAATCACTCCTTCATTAATCCGAATTCCAAACAGCCCTGTTCAAGAATTAAGAGCCTGCGATTTTTATTTTCTAATTCCGCCTCCTTCCAATTCTCAGCATCAGAATCACAGCCGAGGCATTTAACAATCAAGACGATCATTAATAAGTCTTTCCTTTTATTAAATTTCCAGATTTGACCAAAATACCCTTTGACAGATTTACTAGAATTCCCGCTTTTATTTATATTCTTCCTCATTTTCACCATTCGGTCTCCATAATAACTCTCTTCCCATCGATTCAACCCCAGCCAACCTAACATCTCCATATACAACCCAATTCTCCTGTTATTATCAACTTCCATGGATATAATTATTACTTTTAACAGGAACATTCCATTCCTTGCACGTTTCTTCATTGAGCCCAAGATAACCCATTTTAAGGCTAAAAATCTTCAATCTAATATCTTCTGTGATAATCTTGACGACATTTTCCACTGAACTGTTCATTCTCCCAAACACTCTTTTATTTCTTTCATTCCAAATGTGATAAACAGAAGCCGCCAAGGCAATTTTTTTGATGAAATCATTGATGTTTTTCTTTTTTAAGGAACATTGAAGTTCACGGATGATATCAAACCAGCTGTCAGATGTATGATTAATTTTCACCTTATTTTTCATCAAACTCCACACTTCTTTTGTATAATTACATTCAAAAAATAGATGAGAATGAGAATCCAATTGAGAATTGCAAAAAACACAGCTAAACCCATTAGAATCTTTCCATTTCTTCATTCTGTCCTGCGTTCTAAGTCTTCCCAGAATAGCAAGCCAAAGTATAAAACAATGACTTGGGATTCTGTTTTGGAACCAAACCAGGTGGTACCAATTGACAATTGACTCATGGTATATAAGAGAAGAAGAAACCTGATTTATTGCAAATGGAACAATTGTACCTTTATGATTCCTCCAATGAACCTCATCCTTTTTCTCTGCAATAAGTCTTGGCATAAGAAAATCACCTAACTGAGGGATCATTTCAAGCCATTCAGCAGGCCAACTCCAATTCCCTTCACCAATAACATCACTAACTGTATCCCTTATGTTATATCCAGCATTAGTAATTTCCCTATGCGAAAGAACATAACCCAAAGGACCCAATTGGTGCCAGTTATCAAACCACATGTTTGTATCCTTTCCATTTCCAAGCTGACTAACAAAAAAATCCCGAACACATGGTCGAATTTTCATTAAGTTTCTCCAACTCCAGCTCACTTTGTCTTTTAAACTCACTTCCAGAAGCTTCTCCCTTCGAGAAGATAGAACTTAACCCATTTGACCCATAAAGAGTTCTGCCCACTTATGATATTCCAAATTCTGCTGGAAAGAAGGCCTATGTTCCAATCTCTAAGATTTTTTAACCCAAGACCACCATAACCTTAGGTTTGCAAATCTCAATCCAAGACACCTTAGCAACTCCCTTTCCATTTTGACCACTATTCCAAAGGAAATTCCTCATAATTTTTTCAATTTCCTTAGTGGTGCCCTTTGGTAATAACACAGCTGAAGCCCAATACACAGGGAGAGACGAAAGCACAGCACTAATTAATTGGAGTCTACCCGCGTAAGATAGAGACTTATTCTTCCAGTCATTGACTTTATGCTTCACTTTATCAACAAGACCCTTGCAGTCTCTAATAAATAACTTAGTAGACACCAAAGGAATACCAAGATACTTCATGGGCAATTTCCCTTCAACAAACGGGAGGATCCTCAAAATTTTCCTTTTAAACGGCCCCTTAACATTCCCAAAAAATATGTGGCTTTTAGCAAGGTTTGGCACAAGACCCGCAGCATTTGCAAATTCATCCAAAGCTTTTTTAATGATTTTAATGGAATACGAATCACCATGATAAAAAACCATCAAATCGTCAGCAAAACACAGATGTGTAATCTTCTGTTTTTCACATCTCCAATGATACTTGAAACCATTATTGTCCCGAATACACCTTTTGAGCATGAGGTTGAAAACTTCCATAACAAGAGTAAAAAGATATGGAGATAACGGACAGCCCTGACGCAGGCCTCTCTTGCCTTGAAAAAACCCATGAAATCTTCCATTTATGTTAATCATGAACGAAGAAGTAGTAACACAGTTCATGATCCACTTAATCATAGAGCTGTGAAAACCAAATTCTTTCAAAATATGCTGCAAAAACTTCCAATTAACCGTATCATAAGCTTTTTGAATGTCTATCTTTAAGGCACAACGAGCATAACCCCGATCAATATGATATCCTCTAACCAGCTCTTGAGATAACAGGACATTATCCAAGATAGTTCGCCCTGGAATAAAAGCTGATTGATTATCCGAAACCAAACAACCAAGATGATCTCGAATCCGATTAACAATAATTTTGCTGATGCATTTGTAAACAACGTTACAACATGAAATCGGCCTGTAATCCCTTACTTTACCAGGAGTTGGAACTTTAGGAACTAAGGCAATAACAGTTGTATTGATCTCCTTCAATATTTTCTTAGACAAGAAAAATTCCTTAACAGCAAAACAGAAATCATCCCCCACAATCCTCCAAGCTTTTTAAAGAATTTTGAAGAATACCCATCTGGCCCCGGCGCTTTGTCATCATCTATATCAAATAAAGCTCTTTTAATCTCTTCATTTGTGACTTCATTAACCATGTCGAGAGCTTGATTGTTGTCAAGACGATTAGTAAAGAGATTATTTGGACACACAAGGGAAATAACCTCATGATTAACACCAAGAAACTCTCTAAAATAATCAACAATTACTCTAGAAGCCTCCTCCCCTTCTTTCCAATTGCCATTGCTATCAAGAATATTTTCAATTCTATTCCTATTTATTTTCCCCTTAACAACTTTATGAAAATAATTAGAATTAGAATCTCCTTCTTTTAGCCACTGAACTTTAGCTCTTTGCTTTAGATAACATTCTTCTTCTCTACTAGCATTTAGAAAAGATTGAAGATAAAAACTCTCTTCAATTCTTAAGTCTTCATTACCCGGATCTCTATCAAGCTCAAATTGAATCCTACTCAAATCATCTCTGCATTTGGAAACTTTTCAGCATACTTTCCATGCAAATTTAACAGCTTTCGGAGAGGCTTCTTCAAAAATTTAAGCTTTTGACAGAGACGAAACATGCCAAAACCCTCAACTTCAGTTTTCCAAACATTAGCTACTAACGGAAGAAACTCATCCAGCAGTGTGAGGGAATTAACAAACTTGAAAGGCCGAACTCTGAACTTCTTTTTAACAGGAAATTTAATGATCATAGGACTATGATCAGAACATTTATACGGCTGAAAATTAGCAAAAACATCTGGATAATCCTCAATAAATTTGAAATTTCCCAGCACACGATCCAGTTTTTTCAGAACTCCATTTAGCCCATTCGGTCTTTGATTCCAAGTATAATGCAATCCACTTCTGTTAATATCTTGAACTTCAATGTGGTTCATACAATCATTGAATTCAACCATTCCTTTCGAGATTCTAGAATTTCCAGCCGAAGAATCAATAAGCTCTTTAGTAACATTGAAATCCCCAAGAATCAACCACGGAGAATTATTAACAGAATAGAAATGCTTAACCAGCGAATCCCATAAAATCCTTCTATACATGTAGTAATTGCAAGCATAGATGAAAGAACAAAAGATCTTTTTATTATCTTTTATAAAAAGAATCTGACAATGCATAACCTAACTATTAACGTCCAACGGCATGACAACTAATTCATCCGGGTCCCACCCAATAATAATACGAGTGCCTTTAGGGCTCACATCTTGATTTGAAATCCACATCCAGTTCCCAAAAAACATTATTACACGTTGTTTGCAACTTATTAAATCTCAGCTGAGACTCAAGAATAGCAAACAAAGACAAATTATTGCTTCTAATCACATTCTTTATTTCCTCCTGTTTAGGCCTTAAATTCGAACCCCTCACATTCCAGCACCCTATATTCATCATCATTGATCAACATTTGAATTTTCGGTGTTCATCTCCTGGCCACCTCCAGTTAAAATCATCTCCTGATCAATTTCATCTAAGTAAGACATATCCCTTAATCCCAAATCAGCAAGCACATCAAAGGGGTTTTGTGATAATATCTCATCTTGATTATCTTTTCCTGAAGTAGAACCTGATTTGTCAAATTTATAACTAACTTTTAAATCCACCTGCTTTTAGGAACATACACCTTTTTTTGATTTTCTTCTTTTTTCCCCTGCATTCCATCTTTTTTAGCATTAAAATTTTCAATAACATTTTTAACTCTTATCCCCATTTTTTCTTTTGGGATAAACACCCCTGTACCATTCACTTTCCCATTTTTATCCTCTTTTGACTGAAATACCCCTTTCTCCTTCCCATCTTTTTTGAGATTGCCCACTGCAAATTTCGAATAATTTCCCCCATTATTTCTACCTTCAGCCCCTTTTCTGTTTTGTTCTTCTTTCTTATCGTCTTTTTGCTTTTCTTTCCTTCAATTTGTTTGTTATTATTTTCCTTTGCTCACCCTCCTCTATAGACTTTCCTTCATTGCTGCCACCTTTATCTCCTTCACTAACAGGTTTCGAGTTTTTCTCCAAGGACTTAATTAAATCCACTTTCCCTTCTTCATTAATAATCACACCTTTATTGTTGAACTTCTGCCCTTTGTTGCTTTTCTTTGTGACTAAAATGAACCCATCATCATCAACTTTATCATTTTTCCCATCCTCTTCTCTGTTTACAGCAACATCAACACCATTATCATTTTTTTCCCCATTAAGAATTCCACAATTGCTATCTTTATGCCCATATATTTTGCAGTGATTACAAACATCGGGTCTCCACGCATACTCTACCCTACACTTTGATTCAACTTTTTCTCCTGTCCCAAAATCAATTGAGACCACACTTAACTCTTTCATCCAATCTACTTCTGCTGACATTTCCACAAGAAATCTCATGAATGCTGGTCTTCCCCAATGTTCATTACACATTTTTTGAGTTATTTTATCCATGGCAATTGGTTTCCCAATCTCATTAGCAATCAAAGTAATTCCTTTGTTGTTCCAATATTCCAATGGAACATTAAACACTTTAACCCAAACAGGAACTGAGTTGATTTGTGGTTTACTCAAAACAAGACCTGGCCTCCATCTTTGTACAAACATCGGCACATTGTTAATCAGCCATGGACCTCCCTCCAGCACATTCATCATTCCTTCCTTAGAATCAAATTTAAAGAAAAAGAATCCTTCATCATTAACCATTACATCTTTCAGCCCAAATATCTTCCACATCTTAAAAGAAAAATGATTTAACAGTTGGAAACGCAAGTTTTTTCCCCACAAAAAACCCATACAATGTAGCATGATAAGGAGCTCCACCCAGCATTAAATCAGCATAAGGCAACTCTACTTTCCCTTTAGGCTTTCCATCCTCTTTTGGAATTACTTTGATGTTAAGATCCACAACAATATTTGTTGGTTCAACCATACGAGCATAAGATTTTTTATTATAATCACTTACTAACTTAGCTGCAGGGGATGCAACAGGTTTGGTAAAATCCATGCTCAAGAAGTTCGTTCCCTGTTCCTTCTTCATATCATTACCAGTATCAGCTTCCAAATTTCCATTCTCATTCAGTGATTCTTTCATATCTTCATCAATACAATTAATAGACTACTAATTGGATTAATAAGATTATCTTCAGAGACTAATTTGGTACCTGAAATAACAGGTGCAGCTTGCGATAATGGGGACTTTCCCAAAATACCCTTGACATCTTTATTAGCAACTGTCGATCCCAACGCTGGAGAAGACAAATTATTTTCCATAATCTGCGAAGAATTGGAATCCTTGGAAGCATTCGGCTCATCAATCACCATGCCCTTGTGCATTTTCATTCCAATTAACGATCCAATGTTCGACCCAGTACCAGTTATAGCGTTCTTTTCCATGTTCACTTGAATTACAGGGGATGAAGAAGACAACCCAACCACCGTGTTCTTAGAAGAATTGAATCCCTTAACCATATCTGAAGTTACTTGGAGCAACACGAATCCTTTTTCTTCTTCAATTTTTTTCTGCTCGGCAATCACCTTATCAAACGCATCCAATTCAGCTTTAATAAATTGAGGATCGATATTTTCTTTTCCATAATTTGATTTGATTACATCATGTATTCCAGCTCGAAGAACAGCTTTAGACCCATCAGCTATTGGTTTCGAGCTCAAATACATCTTCTCCTCCCTTAACCGATTAGCTTTAGCTTCCATTTTTTCTTTCGATCTTAATGGTTTAATCGCTGAGTAAGGAGAGAATTCCTTGTGCACAGCTCTTCTTCCTCTTCGTTAGCTCCAATGTCATCTTCCATATCATCTTCGTATAAATTTTTGTTAGCTGGATCAGGTGGATCTTTGTAATTCATTCCAAACATATTACCAATTTTCCCGAACATCCGATCACCAATCGTATAAACAATTGGAATTGATTTTAGAGTAAATTCAATCAATGAAGATGAAATTCCGGCACCGGCAAGAGATCCGATCACCAGAATCCCAACCAAGCCACTCACCAAAACTGGAAAACCGAGAGAGACAATCCTAGAGAGAGAAAGTTAGAGAGAGAAAAAATTTTTAGCAAATGACTTGGGGTGGTTTAGGG